GACACAGAATCCAAAGCAGGCTCCAAGCTCTGAGCTGTCAGCACAGAGCCCAACGCGGGGCTCGAACTCACCAACCGTGAGATCATGACTTGAGCGGAAGTTGGACATTTAAATGACTGAGCCATCCAGGCGCCCCTAAAATATGGCATTGTTAACTATAGTCGCCATTTTGCACGTCACATCCCCAGGGCTGATTTATCTTGTTTACAACTGGAAGTTTATACCTTTTGACCACCCTTTCCCATTCTACCCACCCTGCAACCCCAGTCCACTCCCTGTATCTGTGAGTTGGGGGTTATTTATTTATTTAGATTTCACGTATTAAGTGAGATCATACAGTATTTGTCTCCTTCTGTCTGACATATTTCATTTAGCATGATACCCTCAAGGTCCATATGTTATTGCAAATAGTAGGAATTCCTTTCTTTCTTATGGTTGAATAACATTCCATTGTATATATATTTTTTTCTTTGTCCATTCATTGTTGGTGGATACTCAGGTTAGTAGCATGTTCTAGCAATTGTAAATAATACTGCAATGAATGTGGGGTACAGATGTCTTCTTGTTTTTTAATTTTTTTAATTTTTTTATGTTTTTTATTTATTTCTGAGAGAGAGAGAGAGAGAGAGAGCATGAACAGGGGAGGGTCAGAGAGAGATGGAGACATAGAATCTGAAACAGGCTCCAGGCTCTGAGCTGGCTGTCAGCACGGAGCCCGACGCGGGGCTCAAACCCATGAACTGTGAGATCATGACCTGAGCTGAAGTCGGACGCTTAACTGACTGAGCCACCCAGGTGCCCCAGATGTCATCTTTTTTTAATTTTTTGAAATGCTTATTTATTTTTGAGAGAGAGAGAGAGAGAGAGAGAGATCGTGAGCGGGGGGGGGGCAAAGAGACTCCCAAGCAGGTTCCACGCTGTCAGCACTGAGCCCAACACGAGCCTCGATCTCACGACCCATGAGATAGTGACCTGAGCTGAGACCAAGAGTCAGATACTCAGCCAGCTGACCTGCCTGGGTGCCCAACAGATGTCTTTTAAAATTAGCATTTTTTGTTTCCTTCTGATACACACCCAGAAGTGGAATTACTGGATCATATGGTAGTTGTACACCCCAATTTCAAGACTTAGGAAATAAAAGTAAGGTAAAACATAAAAATATAGTCTATTACTAAAATTAATGTTACTTCCTTTTTCTTTATTTTATGGGGCTAGTGGAAAATCTAAAATCAGGGGCAGGTTCTGGCCTTAACATCCTCAGCCGGGTCTCTCCGATGAGCGGGGTGGGTCAGGGAAGAGAAGGGGTGTTTCGCCGGGCCTTGTGCAGATTCTCTCCAGAAGGGTCTACACTCAAACCCATGTTACCAGCCAGCATTCCATTCCTTCCCAAACCTCACTTGGGTCCCTATGAGAAATTCATGCTCCCCTGCCGATACAACCTTGACCTTATTTTAACCCATGGGATTAGCCAAAAGGACCCATACTCACAGGGAGGTGGAAATGACAGACAACAGGGGACCCAGGCAGTAGGAGGGAGCACAGCAGGGATCCCGGGTCCCACTGACACCAAGCTCTCCCCAGGCTAGCTCTGCAGCAAATGCTGTCTCTCTCTCTTTCTCTCTCTCTGGTTCCAGGCCCCACGCAGACAGCCCATCCTATATTCAACAGATAAAAGCACCATGTGTAGAAAAGGAGAAAAAAGAAACCACACCCGGCCTCTGCCCCCATCTCCTGGAGGGTACAATTTTGCTTTTATCCGACACTCTTGGACAACAGGGGAGACAGAAATGGGTCCATCCTCCAACGACCTTCAGGGATAGCCAGACCAGAGGGGCGCAAGAGGAAGCCCCAAGCCCATCCAAGAAGGCTCCCACAAAGGACCCTCAGGGAGGCTGGGGACAGGGATGCTGAGGGCACAGACCCGGAGGGATAGAAGCTGAGACCGGAGGACCTGGCCAACAATGACCCAACGTCCAGCCCCCCAGGACAAGTCTGGAGCTAGAGTCCAGAAGGGAGGCCCGCCAAGAGGAAGGAGAGCATTACTCTCACTCTAGTTGAGCTGGGTCACGCAGGGCCTTGAAGGCCACACTCAGAAGTCCAGACTTCCTCCGGAAGGTGGCTGAGGGTTTCTGAGCAACGCAGTAAGAGGCTCAGAGCTGTGTGGGGCCAGTGGCTCTAGCCTTTCTAAACAGGTGCCCCAGAAGACTTGGAAGACAGACAGTGATGGCCTGTCAGTGACTCACCTGGATACCCAGCCACGAGTGGATGGGCGCGGCTTATCAATGATAATGGCAAAGCCAAGTTCACCCAGCACGCCAGGCACCACGCAGCCGTCTGTGGACAGTTCTACACTCATGACCTTATCTGATCTATGCAGCTATGCAGGGAGGTGGGCACAGAGCAACTGAGGATTGCTGGGTTTCTTGAATGCATGAGTGACTGAATGAACGAATGCTGGCTAAGAACTGTAACTCTCAGTCCTTACATTGGGTACTGAATGCATTGGGCTAAATTGCGCCCATGGGTTTACTTCTGGATGGAAGCCCCTTTCGAGGCATACAGAGCCTTGCCAGATACATTATTGGACCCACTATACATGAGCACAGGATGCTAAGAAAGAGGTCCCAGGTGAGGACAGCACCCAGGGCCCTGGGTCTGCGGGGAGAGATTTGGCCCAGCAGCCCGAGTCTATCCCTGCAAGTGCCCCCCACACACACACCTCTCCTGGATCCTGGGCAGCAAGCACTCTCATGCTGGCTCCAGCCTCACTCTCAGTCCTGGAATTAATAAAAACTCTGAACAGACTGCGGTTTGCAAGTCTGAAAGCTGGTTCCTGCCCACGTCACTGCCCTGGGAAGAGTGGGGCCCAGCTCCTCCCCGGCGCCCCCTCCCTTCCCCCTCCCCAAGGGTAGGGGGAGGCGCAGATGCACCCCGCAGACTCCCCTACTCACATGCAAGCTCATCCTGGGCCTCAAGACCCTGGCCCCGGAGCAGCCCCTCCCTCCACCAGCAAAGGCTAGTTCGGGCCCCTAACCTCTTTCAGCCACCCCCAAAGTATCCCCAAATATCACACACTGGAAGTAAGAGCCTTGTACACTTGCATGCAAGCTTCAAGCCAGTTCTCCTCATGCACCCACCTTCTTCCAAACTCCGGGAGCAGGTGTGACCGGAGACCAGGGAGAGGTAGGGATGGCCCAGGGTCCCAGGGCAGCCCGGCAGACAGCCAAACCTACTAGTCACCCTAAACAGAGCAGTGGGCACAAGTGTAGCGCTTCCTGCAGCAAACGAGGAGAGAGCATTTTGGTTCTGGCCGGCACAGCACAGAAATATACGATCACATTTTATTTATCTTTGCAATAACCCTCCTAGGCAGGGATATTTGTCACCATCTGATGGATGATGAATCTGAAGATCTGTGAAGAGGCTACCCCAGTGGAAAGTGCTAGAGTGAGAAGTTAGCGGTAGGTTCGCCCGAGCCAAGTGTGTGACTTGGTGAGAACTCCAGGTGCCCCAGTGCTCCTGGCTGGGGTGGGGGGGGAGGGGGTTCCTCCGGCTCTCTTGCTCAGAGCTGTGGTGCTGTGTTCCCTTCCCTCTCCATCTGGGAACAGGGGGAAAGGTCACAGAGTTTGTGGCCTTGACTTTTTCCCTTCAGAGGCTCTGATGAAGGTGTCAGTGTCCCTCTTCATTCCCTGAGCTCCCAAATTTCTCCCCCACTTTCAGGGGCTGGGGAGGCAATGACCTACCCCACCCCAGAAAGGTCCCCAAGGTTCTCATCCTGTGTCCAGCAGCCTGGGACCACCGGAATCCTTCTGGAAATGCTGGTCCTAGCTGTTTTGGTGCAGGGCCGCCCCCTTCTGGTCACCAGAGGAATGTCAGCCCCCCAGGCGTTCTGGGTCCTGAAGAGAACAGGCAGTCTGGACTCCCGAGTCTGGTCTGGGTGCTAACCATGCTCAGCACTGAGACAGATAGTGGCTGGGTGATAAAGGGAGGCTGGGCCACCTGTCAGTCTGGGTGAAGTCCCCAACTCACCGGTCCCCCACAGAGCACCTGGGGATCCTGCCTGAACTTCACCAGACACTGTGGCCTACACAGGCCTGCGTGTGGGACTGTGACTTTGATCCATGACAAACGGAATCCCTGTGGTGAGTCAGGGTCCCCCATATGTTCCCCACATGTCCCAGGGGACAGCACCAGCTTGGTCTTCGTTCCTGGGCGGCCACTCCCCCCGCACCCCGGCAGGGGACTGCCCTTACCCGAGAAGAATGGAGCCTTCCAATGTGTCAGGGTCCCTCTTCCTTTCCCCAGATGCCCCAGGGGCAGCGATCTCACCTTCCAGGCCACTGTGCTCCCAGCCCCCTCGATCTCTGGAGACATTGGCCCCAGGCCTCAGACCCCAGACCTGCCCAGCACCCCACCTCCCCATCTCTGGGCAGGGACCGTCCCTGGCCAGACCTGGGGGCGTCGGGGGGAGTCCGGAGGGCCAGGGTGGGGGCAGAGGCGCGGGACAGCTGGCCTGTGTCCCCACGCTGGGCCCGGGGCCCAGCCGGAGGGGCGGGGGCCTGGCCACTCGGGCCTTGGCTGGGGCCGGATTTTTGGCTGGGCTGCGGGGCCCTCCCTCCCGCTTCCTCTCCCGAGGGCTGTCCTGGCAGAGGCCCCCCTCGCACTTTCTGGCGGGAACGGGGCCAGCAGTGAGAGCACAGCTACAGAGGGAAAGCAGGAGAGAGATGGAGGAACTCGTGTGTGTGTGTGTGTGTGTGTGTGTGAGTGTGTGTGTGTGCGCGCGCGAGTGTGTTTTAAGGAAAAAAGCCCACAGTCCAGTCCAGTCAGACCCAGCCTGGGAGGCTTGTGAGCCGGGCCTTTCGTAATTGCCCCCCTCCCCGCGGCCCCCTCCCCCAGGCCTCCCCCTTCTCCCGCCCTCCCGCCCGCCCTCTCTCCCTCCCTCCTTCCCTCTCAGCCGCCGAGGCAGCAATTACGCTTTGGGGATAAAACGAGGCGCAGAGAGCGGACCGGGGCATTTCTCCCCGAGATGGCGGGTCTGAGGACTGCAGCCCTGCGGCCCGGAGTTCTTCTGCTCCTGCTGTCCATCTTCCACCCCTCGCAGCCTGGAGGTAGGCCTCACCCTGCCCCCGGGGTTCGCCGGCAGCCCGAGGGCCTCCCGGCCAGGTGGCTGGACTGGCAGACCAGAGGGCGCCCTTCACCCTGCCATCCTCCACGGGTCCCAGGCAGGAGCCCCTCAGCCACTGGATCCTCAGAACACCCCCCCCCCGGGGAGCCAGCCAGTGCAGAGGAGGGACCTGTCACACAGACACCCCAAGACTCAGGATGGTCCCGACCGTGTCCAGGTTCTGTGGCCCCAACAGGGCTGAGGACCCCCACTCTGTCTTGGGAGCTCCCCCCAGTGCGGGGAGGGGGGTCTGGAGCACGTTGGGGAAGGGCTGGTGGGGTGCCAGTGGGTCGCTGGGCACTGGTGGTTTGCACACCTGTGAACCCAGTGGGAGTGCGCACACGCCCCAGGGGGCAGGGGATCTGGGCCAGAGGCCAGCTTAGCCGCAGTGAACTATGTGACCTCAACAGGTTCCTTGGCCCCGGGGAAGCCAGGGACATCTGAGCATGTGTGTGTGAGTGTGTGTGCGTGTAAACCGGTGTGTTCCGTGCATTGGTATGTGAGCATGTATGTATATGCCCAAATGTGTCATCAAACAGTGGAGGAGAAATCTCTGTTCACAGGTTCATCCCTGAGCAGGTGTGTGTGTGTATGTGTGTGCGCGCACGCACGTGTGTGTGTTGAGGCAGGGGTTGGAGGATATGCGAAAGTGCCTGTTAGCATGTGCAAAAGTCCCACCCGCCAGGCATGTACATGTGGGAAACATGGTCTCCAGGTGTGGATGGTCCCTGTGCATGTGACTCGGTGCGAGGGGTTAGTACGGAACGCAAATGGGGATCAGGGAAGCTGGGGAAGGTATTCAACTCCTGGCAGAGGGAGACTGGCAAGGGCACAGGCTAGAGTGGACCTCGGGGCAGTCCTGGGCCACCTGGTGTGCTCTCTGTCACGGGCCACACCTCGAAGGACCTCGGGAGTCAGCCTCTGGGGACCCCTGAAGGAGCTCCTGGCCACAGGAAGAGGGGGGTGCAGACACTGGAGCCATTTGGTGGGGTGGCCTTGGTGGGGTCAGCTCTCCGTGGGAATCCTCCTCACGTTAGGAACTGGACCCTCAGTGGGGGCCCGCGTGGAGGGCGCAGGATGGAGCGGGACCAGGCGGGAGGGCTGGAGTAAGGGGCTGGGGCTGCAGCACCTGTTTCTGGAAGACTGACCAGCAGGGCAGGACCACACAGAGCAAAGGCTTCCTGCACAGAGGTCAGCTCCCCACCCGGAATGGGGGGCAGGCAGGGGAGAAGGGTAGGGGGAACGTGCGTAGCATCAGTTGGGCCCCACAGGGGGAGTGAGACAATCCCAGAGGACCAGCCACCCCAGAACCCAAGAGCAGCAGCTCTGGGGCCCCCCAAGCCCCCTCCCTGCTCCCGCAGATGTGACCCCTGAACACCTGTCTCCTCCTATAGCATGGCACTTGATCCCCTCAAACACCCTGAGAGCTGAGCATATTATCCTCTTTTACAAATAGGGAAATGGAGGCTCAGACAGCCAAAGGCAGTCCCAGGGGGTTGACACCAGCGAGTTCTCTGCCAAAGGATGAGGGGTGGGGGCAGGGCACCGGGCAGCACTTGGGAAGGCGTGCACCAAGGGCTGAGTCCCCTAGAGTGGGCCCACCTTAGAGCAGGTGCCCGCAGTGACACCCAACGTTTAACAGCCCTCATTCTTTTCTCGTGCGTGTAAGTCTCAGCTCTGTCCCGGCTGGTAGAGCAACTGGGTCCCAGGATGGGGCACGTGAATCCGCACCATCCATTGGAGGTTTTGCCCAGGGACTGCCCAGGTCGGGGTGTGGAAAGGGCCACACACGTCTACATACACAGAGCCTCCCGCCTGGCTCTCCTGGGGACCCCGCCTTCCCCTGCCCTCCATCAAGAGGATATCACCCCCACGAGTTCCCCAGCCCCCAAAGAAACATATTGCCAGTGGCGGGGGCTCCCCAGGAAAACCGATGCAAGGGTGATCTAGACTCATTCAGGGTGGGTCCAAAGTAGCTCTGAGGACCAGCTGCCCCAAACCCCTATGCCATTTGTAAACCGAGAGAGAGAGGGAGAGAGAGAAATTAAATCAAACAGAATTCTGTCTCCCAGGACCCAGAAATATTATCAGCCTTTTCTTTTTTCTGATTTCAGAACTAAGCATGATTTAGATCGGGGATTGTCAACCCCTGAATGCATGTTGGAGTTAACCGGGGAACTTTAAACAATTCAGGTGCCAGGGTCCCACCCAAGCATTCCTGCTTTCTTTGGTCTGAGGAGGGGACTGGCAGTGGAGGTTTGGTAAAAATCTGCCCAGGTAACTCCGATGAGCCTCCAGGGCCGGGACCTCCGGCTGAGCGGCTAATCCTGCTTCTCCGCCTTTGCTGGGGCCGGGCAGGAGGGCAGACGTGCCCAGGGGAGGGACAGCACAGAGTCACACACTAAAGGACAGATTGTTTTTGAAAAGCCCTTGGCAGGCTTTCTCCATACAAACAAAAAACAGCTTCGTGCGGTCTTATCTGCTCTCCTGCCAGCCCCCCGGACTTGGGCTTGGCAAAGCCCCTTGCCAAGGCCTGCTGGCCCTGATGCTCTCTCCCGAACAGCCTTCTCCACATCTTTGAACCTGAAGCCCGGGGCCCAGGCAGAAGGCCCTGCGTGTGACTGGGGTCAGCTGTGGGTCCTGGGCCAGGCGCCTCATCTCACTGGCTCTTGATTTCCCTGGCTGTAAAATGAGGAAAAACATGCCTGCTCTATTTATCTCCTAGGCACAGCGGGAGGGGCCAGCCATGAAACATCTGCAAAGCTCAAATAAGGGGACTGTGGGAATGCCGATTTCTGAAACGATGTTATCTGCTTATTCAGAATGCGCTTCTTTGGGCTGACTGACTCCTAATTGGTGCCCATTTGTCAGGTTTCACTCTTCCACTTGCTCCCACATTCTGTCTCCTGGGCATAGCCTGTGTGAGTGATGGAGAAAGCAGCTAAGACAGGGGGGCGGGGTGGCCTGGAAGAGTCCCCGGAAATCCAGGAAGGCTTCAGAGCAGAAGTGACATTTAAGTTAGACCTTGAAAGAGAGGCCAGTGTCTGAAGGGCTGACTGGATGAGAGATGGGCTTGGGTCCACGGGGCCCCGAGAGGCAGAAGTGGAGAGATGGAGGGGCAAATTCTATCTCAGCAGAAAGACCCCTCCGCAGATAGGGCTGACGGGGTCCGGAGGGGGTGATTTTCCCGTCCCCGGAGGCGTGTGAGCAGAAGCACAGGGGGATGTTTGCGGAAGGAGTTTCCGCCCTGGCCAAGAAGACTGTTGTGATCTCAGCGAGTCTAGGATCCGGATTCTATGATGCAGGAGACAAGTTCCACCCCGGGCTAGCCCGCGAAATGAGCCAAACCCACATAAAACAAGGCAGTGTGTGCTCCCAGCCAGCTGCTTTGGGCCAGCTGAGCAGTGAGAGCCACAGGCCCAGAGAAGGCAGGAAGGGAAGAATTTGAGCTCAGTCTTGGAGGAAGGGCAGGACTCGGGGCGCAGGGAGGCATCCTGGCAGGAGGAGCCCCTCCCGCCGAGGAGGCAAGAAGGAGAACGACCAGCTGGAGCACGAAATGAGGCCACTGCCTGTTTGAAGGCCCTTGACTGACTCCTGTCGTCGTCTGTTCCCACCTCCCCTGCGCTTGTCGAGAGGGGGCAGGGCAGGGATCCTTCACACCCCCCTAAACCTTCTCCATTTCCTCAGCTCAAAATGCCGGTCCAAATCTCTAGCTCCCCCTCCAGGCCTTCGTGGTCCAGGCACAGAGTTTGACAGTTGCTGCTGGGATCTGAATCATGGGGGTGGAGGAGGGGGGATGACCTGGGGGGTGGTCAGGAGGGCTGCAGGGAGAGAGGAAGCAGAGGATGTGGGGGGAGCAGATCCTGGGCAGAGGAAGTAGGGGTTCAGCCGGGACCGAGGTAGGTAGCCCCCCAGGCTGGCTGGGGACAGAACAGGCTGGACGGAGACCCACAAGCAACATCCTCCCCTCAACCTAATCCACTCCTGGTTTATTGAATCCCTACTGTATACCTGGCCCCAGGCACTATCCTGTGCAGCAAAGCATAGACTAAGGGTGACCAGCTTTTCCTTTTTTCTTTTTTTTTTTGCAATTACTCTATGCCAGAGCCAGGGGCAGACACGTCTCTTACTTGAACCATCTGACATTTGACAATTTGCAATAGTCTTGCAAGGCAGAGGTTATCAGTCCCACATTTCCTTAAAGGAAACTTGGGCTCAGAGGGGTTAAGCGACTTGTCCAGGGTCACACAGATGGGAAGAAGTGGCACAGCCAGGGGCCAGATGGGTCTGTCCTGAGCCTCCCCGCCCCCCTCCGCCTCAGTGTTCTGCCTGACTCCCCCCCCCCTCCCCCTGCTGCTCCTGCAGTCTGCCATGGAGAGCAAAGAGGTGGGGAGAGGGCACTGTCAGGGAGGGAGAGAGAGGGAGAGAAAGGGGAGGAGGGGGAGAGCCAAGGCACAGAAAGACCTGGAACGCCACTGGGAAAGGCACAGAAGAGACAGTGCTGGAGGCAGGAGCCAAGGGAGGCATCAAAGGCCCAAAGCAGGCTGTGTGCGTGCTTGGCAGCTGGTGACGGGCCGAAGGACTCATTCCCAGCAGGCCCGGCCTCCTGGGGCCACCACTACGTGTCCCTGAGGCTCTGACCAGACTGCTTTGCACGTTCCAGGTCTGGATTGCAGGCCGTGGGGGGCTGCAGGCCCTGAGTATGCGGGGGTGGGGGGTGGAGGGGGGAAAGGGGTGTGGCTCGGGGCTTTGGCACCGGGTGACCGCGACAGCCTGGCATTCCCCACCCTGCTGGGCTGGTGCTGAGGCTGACGGGGCCGTGGGGCCAGCAAGCCCAGCGAGCATTGTCTTCAGACCACGGAGGCCAGACTTCTGCTGTGAGGCCTCTGGACTCGCTGCAGTGCTGCCCGATGCGGTCCCCCGACCCCACCCCTGCCCCTTTCAGCAGGGTGGTGCCGGGGCCCCCCCAGCCGGGCCATGGGCCAGGCAGCTCATGAGGCTGGGGCCACTCTGGTGGTGGAGTCAGGGCCTGGTCTGCACCAGGATCGTCTGTTGCCATGACCACGCTCGGGCCGGTCTGGGGCCCAGCGCCACAGCGTTCCCCAGCGAGGGCTTCGCGGGTCCGTGGGGAGTGAACTCGTGATCTTGGCCGGGCAGACAGCCCCTGGCCTGGCTGGTGAATTAACTTTTCCTTAGGAAACTATTCACTTTGCTCATTCATGGTGTCCCCCTCTGGGCCCCCGGCACCTCCTAAGACAGCCCCGTGTTAGACGGCCAGAGCCCCACCCCATCATTGCTGCCCAGTGGCTGAGGACGCTGACCTCACGCCATCCTATCAGTGTGGGAATGGCCGCATTTTTGCTGGCAGCAGCCACATTTCCTTACTGCTCTCTGCCGTAGCCCAGACTGCCCTCCCACAGCTCTGGCCCCTGCTCAAGCCACTCAGGGCTGGAGAGAGTTGGGCGCCCAGCAAAAAGTGGGCAGCCCCAGCCCCGTGCCAGGGGGGACAGAGAGAAGACGCAGGTAACACAGTGCAGACCACCATGCTCGTAGAAGAGGCCTGGCTCCATCTCTTTCTGGCTGTGTGTCCCTGGGCACGCCTCTTAACCTCTCTGAGCCTGATTTCACATCTGTTCAAGTGACGATCCTAATCTCTGCCCTTCCAACCCCTCGGGGCCATTCTGAGAAGCATGAATGAGAAAATGTAAACATACATGGCTTGGCCCACATATCTTGCTTTGTAGACGTGCAATAGCATCGTTACCGTCTGCGCTATTATTGTTACCGTGCTTTTATTCGTTCTGGCTGATGGAGGATTCTACCTGCTTACTTCCAGGGGTCCCAGGGGCTGTTCCTGGTGGAGTTCCCGGAGGCGTCTATTACCCAGGTAACGTACATAAAACTTGCACGCACCCAGGGAAGGCAGATCCTGAGTTGTTCGTAAGAGATGCACGGGGCGAAAACGTGGAAGGGGAGGCATTGGCACGCCTACCAAAGGGGACCCACGAGCCACTCCTACTTAAAAAAAAGCAGTCCACGTGACACTTTTACAAGTACTCAGAGCATCAGTTTTCTGAAAGATGAAAGACGATGCTTACAAGTCTGTAGGAAAGTGGGTGCCTTCATGCAACCCTGCCTTTTGACCCTTTAACCCAGCTCTTGGGAATCTATGCAAAGGAAACAACTGAAAAGTAGAGAAAGAGAGAGATCCCAGCCAAGGTTCATTGGAGAGTTATCTGCAAGATGTGAAACAACAAGCCCACCTGACTGGAGGGTGTGATTAAGTAAACTCTGAAATAACACCCGGCTTCTAAAAAGTATGAGTGCGCTACCTGCGCAACCGTGCGGCGAAGTGTTCTTCAAGTGCAAACAATAGAAAAGCAGCATTGGATACTGGGAACACCCCCAAAAGATAATGGGCAGAATGTGTTGCAGCTCTGGCATGGGGGTGGGGGGTGGGGGGAGGTTCTTTTAATTTGGAAAAAAGGCATGATGCTTTAAAGTAGATTGAAAAATCGAAAGTAATGCTTTCAATACTGAAAAAGTATTTGAGAGGCACTTCCAGGGAGGTACACAACTGGAGGTGCAGGAAGAGAGGTGTGCAGAGAGAGTGGAAACTCAGTGCCCTTCCCTCACGCCTTGCCCTCTTCCATCCGGCTGTTCCAGGGTTACATTCTTTTATAATAAACTGGAGATCTAGTGAGAAAAAAAAAAAAAACATTTTAGTGTTCAGAACTGATGTGAAGGTGAGGGCAGCCACTGACACCCCCAGACACAAGCAGGCACTGGCTGTTGGCCCAACAGGGAACTGAGGCTCACAGAGCTCAAGGCTAGCCCAAGGTCATGCGGCTACACAGCCAGGTACTTGACTGTAGGTCAGTGGGCAGCTTTTTGGCAGTGACATTGATGGTTCTGTCTGTCTGTATGTCTCTCTCTCTTTCAACATAGGTGCTGGTCTCGGAGGTCTGGGAGGAGGAGGTGAGCTCAGAAACCAAACCTGGTTCTCACTGATGGGGTCTGACCTTGACTCTGGCCCACCCAGGTCCCCAGGCGCCAGAACCCCAGAAGGCCTAGGCATCAAGGGCTCCCTCAGTTTAAGGACTGAGCGTCCAGTGTGGGGGGAGATACTTGTCTTAGAGCCGGAAGCCACCTGCCTCCTGAGCCCCTCCCCTGGCCTCTTTTCCTGGTGGCCCCTGCCCTCTTTCCAGATTCTTTTGATCTTCCATAACACCCCTGCAAGGCCTGCCCAGTGGGTATCATCTGTCCCTTCTGGGGCTGAGAAACTGAGTCTAAGGGAGGGTAAACCATAAATCAGGTGGGCTTCCCACCCGCACATCCAGGCACCAGGCTCCCAGCAGCTCCCTGCCCAGAGGGAGGGGGGAACCATCCCCGGATGGCCCTTCTAGAGCCTGGGGAGTGGGAAGCCCCAACGCCCCAGGGAGATAAATAGCAGATAAAGGGTGGCCTGGGGACTCTCTATTCACTACCTTCTCTTCCCTCTGCAGCTCTGGGGCCTGGAGGCAAGCCACCCAAGCCAGGTAAGACCTGAGGCCTCAGGGCAATGAGAGGGGGCCGGGGAGCAGGGGAGGGGAGGACCCACAGAGTGGTGAACGTAGAGGCAGGAGGAGGGAGGGAGGGGGTGGGCAGCGCCAGCTCCCCAGGTATAAGCAGGCTGGGCCAGGGCCCCGGGCTTCTGAGAAGGAGTGTCTGGCATCTACCCTGCAAATGCCTGCATGCGAGCCGCCCGGAGAGTGCCCTAGGCATGGGGCCTCAGAAACAGCCCAGGGGCAAAGGCAGGGACTGAGGTTCCAGTGGCCACCCAGTCTGTGAATGTCACTCCGGTGCTCAGACACAGACAGTGGGCTCCAGACTCTGTCTGGATGGTCCCCTGACCCCGGCTAAGCTTTCCCTAACCCCAGGCCAAGCCCTGAGACCTCTCTGAGCTCCATGACAGCTGGAGGCCTTCCCTCACCACAGGCTGAACCCTGACCCAAGACCGAGGCCTGGACTTAACCCCAGACTGAACCCCGACCCTGAGTCCCAGATGAGCTCCCCTCCTGACCAGGCCCCTTCCAGCTGTGTCTAGAGCTTGGACGTTTACAGGAAGATCTGGTTAGATCTGTCCAGGCCTTGCCCATGGGGCTCGGACCTGCCACTGAGGTCCACCATGGGTTCAAACAACACCCCCCCAGGGAAGGGGGAGGGAGGGTCCCTCCGGGAAACCCTGGTGGACAAGGAGCAGGTGGAGGAAGTGGCGTCTCGGTCCAGATTTATGGCCCCGTCGGCATGAGATTCTCCACATGTGGCCTTGGCACCCCAGCTCCGCGTCTCCCTGCCTCTGAAGCCGGAGGCTGGAGGACAGCGTGGATGTCCAAGGCTCTTACGAAATCCCAATGGTCGATGATCCAAGTGCAAATGAATCTACGGGGCCCAGATCCCTCTTGCCTGCAAGCCCATCAGAGTTGTGAAATTCCAGGGCCCGGCTGGGAGAGAGAGAGAGAGAGGGAGAGAGAGAGGCAGGACAGCAGGGAGTCCTGGGCAAGGGGGGTCTGCGAGGCTTAGCCTGTCTTCCGGTGGGGGGGGGCGGTGACCCTCACAGGGTCTTCGGTGGCAGAGGAGGCCAAGGCATGGGAGCAGCACTTGGCTCAGCCGGGAAAACCCAAGCATTGGGGCTCCCAACGGCAAAGCTAGAGGGGTGTGGGGGATGGGCTGACCGCACTGTCGGCGGGGCACCCGAGGCAGGACCAGAGGGAAGACAGAGTCCCTCAATGGATGGGCGCTGGAGCAAGGCGTGGACCAGTTAAAAAGACTTAGTGGGGACCCTGAAAGAACTCTCCAGCTCAGGACGAAGGAGTAAGACCTAAAGGGAAGTCAGGAGACCTCCCTCCCTCTGACGGGAAGGGGTGGGGTTCCACGGCCTCCCTGAGGTCATCCTTGGGCCCCAGCACTCTGGGCACATGGTGCCCCCCCACCCTGGAACAGCTCCGCCATCCAGGCCGCGGGGACGTCCGGACCTGCCCAGGCAGGATGGAACGGGCACAGGCGGCATGTGTCGTGCTTGAGAACAATTAATCCCTTGACAAGCACAGGGTGGGTGGCCTAGAAGCTGCTCCACGTGGGCCTCAGGGGGCTGGCCCTGCCTGGACTCTCGGTGGGGGCCCGGGGCAGCTGGGAGCCTGTACCGCCCACACCCCCAGCACCAGCTGGAGGCCAGTCACCCACCCCCGGGGGGACAGGAAGGAGCTGAGGGACACCCACCGGCTGCCCTGGCTGGTTGCGCATGCTAGGCACTTTCTGCTCACCAGCCTGCTGGCCCCAGGAAGGTCGGGGACACACCGACCATTCTAGAGCCTTCGAGGGGTGAAATGACTTGCCTCCTTACACACAGAGTAGGTGGGTCCAGCAGGGTTGGAGTCGGAGCTCTTGGACTTGGAAGAGAGCGTTGGGCCTGCCGGGCCCCGTTGGCTCCCAGCAAGGGTCAACTCCTCACCACTTTCCCCCCTTCTAGGGGCTGGACTCCTGGGGGCGTTCGGACCAGGTGAGTCTACAGGAAGGAGGGCCAGCAGGGGTGGGGCTGGTCATACTGGAGGTGGCCCTGGGATCAGGCAGCTGGCAGGGGAGCCTGGGAAAAGGGCAGGTGGCTGCAGAGAGGTTGCTGGGGCCCCACCACCACCAGCCCCAGCTCCTTCTCACTTCCTGTTGGGTCCCCATCTTCTCTTCCCAGCCCTTCTGGGGTCAGGAAAAGCCCAAGCATGTTCCCTGCCCTCTTGGAGCTCAGGAAATGGACCCGGCTTGAGAGAAGCCCAGGACAGAGCTGGGGAAGGGCAGGGCCTGGCTTCCTGGGAAGTGAACCCAGCACACCCCAGGCCCGGCCTGACCCACACCACACCTGCACGGAAGGGAGAGGGGCCGCGGTTAGAGCCCCACCTTACAGAGGGCCCGGCTGCATTTCAGGCACGGTCATGGTCAGCTCACACAAGGAGGAGATGGTGGGGGAAGGAGGTGGAGAGACCACACCCAGTGAAAGCCAGGTCGACCCTCCAGGGCTCAGCAGCCCCCCACATCTGGGGTCTGTCCCCGGAGGAGGCTGCCCCTGGGCTCAGGACCCTGACAGCCAGGACTGGAGCTTACAGGAAAGATTCTCACAGAATTGGAAACAAACCTGGCACGCTTGTGAACTCCAACCTGATTGCCCATCGGTCCTGGCCAAAGCCATGGAATGTCTCCTGGAGGGAGAAGGAGCAATTGGGCCCAGATGTGAGAAGGAGAGAGCCAAAGGGACCCATTTGGCTTCTCATAAACATTTTAGCATCCGTCTACAAGCAAGGAGGCTCCTGGACTGCAGGGCAGGGTGGACAGACAGATATACAGAGACAGAAGAGATTCCAGATACAGGGCAGGAAGAGTGGGCGGAGCCAGGGGACACCCTGCAAGGAAAGCAGTACAGGCCTGGGGTGGGGGCTGATGGTCAGAACAGAGCAGGGCCTGGCCGGGGGTGGGGGTGGGTGTCCTGCTGGCAGACTGCTCAGCTCCAGCCCTCACAAAAAGCCCTGCTGGGTGCCCCTTTATCCGGCTGGCCTTTTAGGGGAAGCAAGGCATAGCTTAGGGGTGTTACATGGGGTTAGTACAATTGTGCCTATGTGGCACATAATAGCTGGTCATTAAATGAATGGTGGCTGCTATTTTATCAGGATCCGTCCTTAAGTCCCAACTGCTTGCTCCTTGCCGTGGGGGACCTGCCAGAAGCCCTGCTTTGGGTCCAGCTTGGGGACCAAACACCCTACACTGACCACGGCACTGCCTGCCTGGTTCCTGACCACCCTCCCCATGAGACCTTTCCCGCCCCCCGGGCCCTGGGAATGATGCCCGCACACCAGCCTCTCTTCTCCTCACCTCACTCTGTCTCGTTCTCCCTGCAGGTGTTGGTGGGCTTGCAGGTGCTGGCCCCGGGGCAGGTGAGTGTTGGCATCCAGGCAACATGCGCATTTGGGGGCCAGAGCCGAGCCCAGGGCATCTGTTTGGCGTGGAGGGCCACTGGGGGGCAGGGACACAGGCCAGGCCTGTCCTGGGTGCTGGCATGAGGGTGAGGGTGAGCCCATCTGTGCTGAGTGCCTGTCCAGGGCTCAGCTGGGGGCTGGGCGAGAGCAGGACAGAAGCCGGGCCAATGGAGCCCAGAGGAGTTGTTCAACTCAGAGGGGCTCCAGGAAGACTTTCTGGAGGAGGGGAGGATGGAATTTTGACCCCAAGAGACACCCATAGTTTTGCAAAGCTGAGCAGGACAGCCTGGCATATGTTACTCTCCAATGCCGAATCTGGTCCTGGTCCGGGGGTCACTGCTTGGCATCAAAGTCCCACGGAGAGCAGAAAAACCGCCCCAAATGTGCCTCCCAGGAGAGACAGGGCCTGGTGGGTTGGGGCCTCACGCGGTCCTCTCCTCCACAGGGCTGGGGACCTTTCCTGCAGGCACCTACCCAGGGGCTCTGGTGCCCGGCGGAGTGGCAGATGCTGCTGCGGCCTACAAAGCTGCCAAGGCTGGTGAGTGTCACTCCTGGGGACATGCCTTAAGCCCTCTGGCCTCCGGGCTCACAACTTTGCAAAGCACCTTTCCTGGGAGGCAGGCAGGAGGGCCAAATTCTCATCTCCGCTCCACTGGGAGCCCAGGGCCCTCCTGCGCCCCACTAGTCCTTGAATGACTTCTTGCCCCTCCCTGTCCTGGCTCTGTAGGTGCCGGGCTTGGCGTCGGCGGGGTAGGCGGCGTCGGCGGCTTAGGAGTGTCTACAGGTATGGTGGTGACACCTGAGCTGGCCAGGTGAAGGCTGCAGGCCTGGGGGTGGGGGAGCCCACTCTGACACGGCCCACCCTACACCAGGTGCAGTGGTGCCTCAGCCCGGAGCCGGAGTTGGAGTCGGAGTCGGAGCCGGAGGGAAGCCTGGGAAAGTGCCCGGTCAGTGAGCCGTCCCCGGGGCTGGGGGGCAGAGGGCGGGGAGGACAGAGGCCCCCGCCTGCACACCACACAGGGAGGGTGGGCCCGGCCGCAACAGGTGAGGAAGCCAGCTAGGCCCGTGTCCGGTGCTCCGTCCCAAACATGGTAGACAGGCCCCAGTCTGCCTTGTGGGCCCTTCTTCCAGCTCCTGGAGCAGAAACAGACCTCGAGACAGGAATTCGGGAGACAGATGGGGTGCTCGGGCTCAGGATGGACCGTCAGCTCAGAAGGGCCCGTCACGGCAGAGTGGGGCTGAGCCGGAGGCACGCGGGCTCGCCATCTGGTGCTCATTCCTCTGCCCCAGGCCCTTGAGGAAGTGACTTCAGGTTGCACAAAAGGCTGCCTGGGTCCACACAGCAGGGAGGGAACATCTGGAAGCTATTAGCCCAGAGGTGGGCTGAGCCAGCCACGTAAACAGGCTCCAGGAGACAAGATAAATCCACACACAAAAGGGTTTGCCGATGATTTCCGAAACTCATGGGAGAGCTGCGGCCATGGCACATGTGTCCCTGGCTATGCCCTCGGGGCCCTGGGGAACTGGTATGGGGGCCCCGGAGCTGCCCCTGAGAGCAGGACCCAGGAGGGGTTCCCGCAGCCAGGCTGCTGCTCTCGGCTCAAACCGTCTCTTCTGGCCGCAGGTGTGGGTCTGCCAGGTGTCTACCCAGGCGGAGTGCTCCCAGGCACAGGTGAGGGCAAGAAGAAGAAGGGGACCCTAGAGCAAGGAGAGCAGCCTCTGGCAGCCCCCCGGGTGGCCCGTCACCTCCCCCCAAGCCAGGGCCACCAGCTGGGCCCTGACCAGCACTGTCTCCCTAAGCATCACAGCTCAGGCCTGGCCGTCTTTCCCCACAAAGTCTAGTTGGCTTCACACTCCCTACCCCGGCCCCAAGCCCTGACCCTCGGCCCAAACCCAGTCCCTCGTCACAGCCCAAGAAGGGCCCCCCGAGGACACACCAAGTCCCAGTGTGGCCAGCTGTTTCCCAAAAGCCGTGAGTCACTGGGGGGCCCGCCCAGCAAATCCGCCCGGCCGGAGACCCCTCAGAGCTGCCCTCTCGCCCTCCTTTCCCTGCCAGGGCCTGACCACCCCACCCAGCATGTGACCTCCTGAATTCCCCCAAAAGCCCAGATCCGGCCTGCTCAGAGGGATTTGCTGACAGAGTGGCCCTCCCCTGTCCCTCCGGCTGAGGCGGCCCAGGCAGTGGAGACGGGAGGGGTGGAAGCGCCAGATGCTGGCAGACAGCGCGTCCCCGGCCACAGCAGACAGCCGCTTCGTGTGCGGTGGGGCCGCACCTCAAGGGAGAGCCCCCAGGGCCTCAGGCTTCCTGCTTCGAGCAGGGTTTAACTGTCTGCCTTCTCTGGGGACCGTGCACTGGTTGGCTGCAAGTTAACCCCAACTTAGAGAGAAGGCCAGCTGAGGCACAGGCCCAAGTGGCTAGGAAATGGGGTGCAAACTCAGGTCTCCTGACCTTGGGTCAGACAGGGAAGGAGAGTCACCACCACACATCCCCCTGCCGCCATGCGTCGCTGACAGTCAGTACAGAAGGTCAGCTGTGTGACCTGAGGGTGGTGTGGGTGTCTGCAAGGCCTGCCTTCCCACCCTCACTGCCAGCTCCCCCCCTTTGCCCCCTCAGGAGCTCGGTTCCCGGGTGTGGGGGTGCTCCCCGGGGTTCCCACCGGAACAGGAGTCAAGGCCAAGGCCCCAGGTATGTGGCCAACTGGCTGAGAGCCCCTGGCAGGAACCTCCCCCTCCCCCCTCAGGCCCCTCTGGCCCCCGGTGGGGGTGGGGAGGGGTAACCCTGGGCTCAGGGCCCTCTGGTTGGGCACTTCCTGGGCTCCAGTCCTGGTGCAGCCGGCCAAGATGGGCAGTAGCCCTCTCAGACCACCCCCCACCGCGTGTGTGAGGGCAGAACTGGCCAGCTCTGGTGGGCCCGCCCCTCAGTGCCTCCTGGCCGTTATCAGTCCCCATGGTGGCAGGGCCGCAGTGACGGCTCCTTGTCATTGGTCATTGCAGGTGGAGGCGGAGCTTTTGCTGGAATCCCAGGTGAGGCCAAGCTGGGTGTCCCCAGGTGGGTGGGCAGGCCAGCAGAGTAGCCAGCCAGGCAGGGAGGGGCGGGGCCACCCAGAATCCCCAGGAGGCCTGTCCAGTCTCCCTCCTGCCTACACTGCCCTGGGCCTGGGACCGGCTGCAGCACCGCACGCTGCTTCCCTGACCCCAGTGCAGCAGCCAGATGAGCCCAGAAAGCCCACCAGTCTGTGCCAAATGCTGTGAGAGCTACAAAGTCCTGCAGCTTTCAGGAGGAGGTGACCCAGCACTGAGCTGACCACTGATCAGCCTCTCGGACCGAACAGAAAGTCAAGTGTGAGGCTGAGGGCTGGAGCAGGGCTGCTGGCCCACCCTGTGGGGACCCGAGTCCACTCTCCTTGTCCCCACAGGAGTTGGGCCCTTTGGGGGCCAGCAGCCTGGAGTCCCACTGGGGTACCCCATCAAGGCTCCCAAGCTGCCAGGTAAGTCAGAAGGAGGATTTAAGAGGTGCCACGCACCAGGCCTCACTGCCATGCACACATATGTTCACACACGTGCACATGCAGGCACATGTGCAGAGGCCCATAGCCCGGATGGGCAAACAGTCTGTGTTGATGGTAAGAGACACCCTTCGATGGAAAGGCCCCTCCGATGTCAACCCCCACCCCCGCAGTTGGCTCAGACCATGAGATGTTTCCTGTTGGGAGGGTCATCAGGAAGATTCAAAGGCCATGGCAGGCCCTGGATTTGCAGGGGGAGGGGTGTTCCATCAGCCCTTGGAGGAAGGGTCACTCTCCCCCCTCCACCGAGGGTGTCTGCTCCCCCGAGAGCCCCTGTGAGCAGCTGGGGACCTTTGGTGCGCATAGGGAGGTCTCAGGCCTCAGTACCTGTGGGGGTAGGTCTGTCTATGCAGGCAGTGGGGGCCCCAACAGAGGGCTGCCATGGAGCAGCCCCTGAGCACCCCAACCCTCTCTTCAGGTGGCTACGGACTACCTTACACCACTGGGAAACTGCCCTATGGTGAGTAAGACCCTCCTAAATGGATGGGCTTCTAGCGCTTTCCAGCTGCGGGGTCTTAGCAACGCTCTCCCCCGCTAGGAGAGCATCCGCCTGGGGAAGGAATGGAGTCTTGGAAAGGGAATTCTCTAAGAAGGGAACACAGAACTCGGGCTCAGGCAGCCTGGTTCTCAGTCCCGGTCCTCACACTCAGCCCCTGGCCTCGGGCAAAGCAGTTTCTTCTCTGAGCCTCGGTATTTTCATCTGTAGCATGGGAAGAAGCATCCCACACACATTTGTACCTGTCTTAACTCTGGCTGGGAGTGATAGGGTGGGGACTCTGGGCAGCCTACCCCCATGCGCAGGGAGCACAGCCGCAGTGAGATCTGCACAGGTGCCCACTTAGCCTCTCTGTTTCACAGGCTATGGGCCGGGAGGAGTGGCTGGCGCTGCAGGCAAGGCCGGGTACCCGACGGGGACAGGTAAGGAAAACCTCGCCCAACCGTCAGCTCAAGGGGCACTCGTCACCCAGGCTCCAGAGCCCCAAGGCTGACAAGGGTCTCTTAAGAATGCAAGCTCCAGCCCACCAGGCCTTCAGACCCCAGTCTGAGCCTGGAGAAGATTCTCGTGTGGGGGCAGTTCGTCAGCCTCTGCTTGCTGTGAAGCCCCTCCCCCACACCCACCTGTGCCAGGATTGGTTCTCGTGGGGCTGGAGCAGGTGGGCTCGGAGATGTAAGAGCAGTTTGTGGAGTCTCTCTCCTTCCCCTTCCCTAGGGGTTGGCTCCCAGGCTGCAGCAGCGGCAGCTAAAGCAGCTAAGTATGGTGAGTGCCCTTGCCAGCCCCCAGCCCCCCAGCCCCTCTGTCCCCATTATCACTGGAGCCTGCCTCGCAGACAATGAGCCAAGGCAACCTCTCCTCCCACCATTTATCCAGTGTTTTCAATGCCACCCATTCCCCCATCCATTCATTCTTTCTTCCATCCCTCTCTCTACCCATCCCACATCCATCTTCCCATCCATCCCTCCATCCATCAATCACTCCATCCTTCCATCTACCCATTCCTCTTCCATCCCTTCATCCATCCGTTTATTCTTTCCTGCCTCCATCCCTTCATCCATCCATCCGTCTATTTGTCCACTCATCCATCACTCCCTCCATTCCTCCCTCCATCTATCCATCAGTCCTTCCTTCCATCTCTCCATTCCTCCCTCCATCCCTTCATCCATCCATCTATCCCCACCTGTCTCCCCTCCATTCCTTCATCCCTCATCTGTCCATCTCCCCCTCTCTCCATCAACCCCCTCCTCCTTCCATCCCTCCATCCCACGTCTCTCCCTCCATCCATCCATCCCTCTCCCCTTCTTTCCCTCCCTCCATTTCAGAGACCAGGGTCAACTAAGAGCCCTGCTGGAAAATTCAGGCACTGTGGGGGGAGTCAGGAAGAGGGGGACATTTCTTCCTGGGGAAAATCAGGAAGGCTTCTCAGAGAAAATGACATTTGGTTCTGGAGTTTTGCTTTGTGGTGAAAATAGAAAGGAGAAGCCCAGGCAGAGGGGAGGGGTTACTATGGTGGTTGGAATGATCATTTTAAGCGGTACATACTTGAGCATTTAAACAATGTTGTTTTTCAGTATCAATTTAATGTGTACTATAAAACGTTCAACCCGCTCCTCTAGTCACTGATGCCTCTGCTAGAAGATGTGACACGGCCTTCCCTGTGCCCGTGTAGTGGGCACAGGGAACATCTATGCCCTTGCCCCAGATCGTCTCCCAGTTCAGAATCAGGTTACTGGGGCTGAAGTCCTTGGCTTCATCTCCAGTTCTTGGGGAGCCCTTCCTGAACCCTGATGGGACAGAAGACATCTCCCCACCGGCCCAAGGGGACAAGATTGGGAGACGGGGTGGGCAGAGCACTGAGCCGGAGGCCTTGCTCCCTGGAGGCCCCGCAGGCACTCCCTCTAAGCCCCCAAGGCTGGAGGGGATGGCTGGAATGTGGGAGCAGGAGAGTGGGACAGCGAGGGGCTGCCAGAGCCAGGCAGCCAGGCGCTTGGATTACAAACTTGGCCGAGGCTTCGGAACACAGGGAGAGGAAGCCTTGAACATTCCCTACAGGGGCCCCTCTGGCCCGGGGAGCGGCCGCTTGTGGTTTCTCAGTATGTGGCAGTGATCAGGATGGGATTTGTCTGAAAACATACAAGTCCCTTAATGAGCGTGTTGAAATGGACACTTTGGGGGTGAGTCAAGGAACGGTTGGGTGGGGGCCTTCTCCAGCAGGCCCAGACGGAGATTCCTGGGCCCCGTTCCCAGAGGAAAGTGTGCTGGTCAAAATTCCGGCATCCAAGTAGCCTTCCTGCTGGGCCTCCTGCGGGGGGAGGGGGGCATGGGGAGGGGCCCTGAGTGCCACATCTTCACTGTCCCCATCCCATCAGGTGCTGGAGGAGCCGGAGTTCTCCCTGGCGTTGGAGGTGGTGGCATTCCCGGCGGGGCCGGCGCCATTCCGGGGATCGGAGGCATTGCAGGTATCTGCCCAGCTGGGGGTGGGGTGTTCTCGAAGGGTCCCTGGGAAAGGGCCTCACCCTCTGTGACTATCTCTCCAGGGGTGGGGACTCCTGCTGCTGCTGCTGCTGCTGCGAAGGCCGCTGCTAAGGCAGCTAAATACGGTGAGTGCCCCCAGGGGCCCCAGCCTGCCCCCAGACCCTCCACCTGCATGGGCCTTGGACAGCCCCGCCCTACAAGGTTGGGCGGACCTTGCCTTCATCCATCTACGGCAGCCTGTGTCCCCCTCCCCCAACACACAATGTCCCTACCTCCTTGCCTTTGCCCATTTTGGCTACTCTGCCTAGAAGGTCATTATCTTCCACTGACAGGTCCAGTGGTGGCGGGTGAGGGGGCTCCCATGGAGCATCTGACTTCTCCCTTCCTACCTTCAGAGCCACCCTCTGGTGCTCTGGTGCCACTACCTGGGTGCCCAGCGGAGAGACCTGACTTGGCTTTAGACCTAGATCGGGATCTTCCCACCCACCGATCCAAACGCAGGCTCCGTCAGCTGTCCCCTTCCCTTCGATGGGTTGGATCGATGTGGGGATGCCAGCCCGCCTGGGGTGTGCACTCAGGAACTGCCTCTCCCCCAGATCACCAAAGCCATGCCCTTGGGGGCCCTCTGAGGTCCCCACAGAGTCCAGGCCAGGAAAACAATCTTTTCCTTCCACAGGAGCTGCAGGAGGCTTGGTGCCTGGTGGGCCAGGCTTTGGCGGCCCGGGAGTTGGGGTCCCAGGTGTTGGGGTCCCAGGTGTTGGAGTCCCAGGTGTTGGGGTCCCAGGTGTTGGAGTCCCAGGTGTTGGGGTCCCAGGTGTTGGAGTCCCAGGTGTTGGGGTCCCAGGTGTTGGAGTCCCAGGTGTTGGAGTCCCAGGTGTTGGAGTCCCAGGTACGGGGAGCCCGGGCATTGTGGGTGGACTAGGTGAGCTGGGCTATGTGTGTGCGTGTGCATGCACATGTGTAAGAGAGAAACACTGAAATTATTGCTAAGACTTTTGGATTCCCCCTAATACCTCACCCATCTATCCTCCTCTCTTCATACGATCGCTCATGCCTCATCTTCTCTTCCTTGGGTTGGAACAACCTCCTAATTAGTCACTGCCAGCATCATCTTCTCTAATTCATCTTCTTCATCTTCTGACTATCAGTGTGTCCCTGGAATCAGGGGACATTTCTTTTTCATATCTACATTCCCAGCCCTTAGCTGAATAAGTACTCAGTAAATGGTGGGTAAGTGGATAGATGGATGGGTGGATGGATGGATGGATGGATGGATGGGTGGGTGGGTGGGTGGATGGATGGTTAGATGGACAACTGGGCATGCAGGTGAATGGCCATGGATGAAGGAATGGGTAGATGAAGGGACAAATACAAGGATGTGTAGATATATGGATGAATAGACACATGGGCAAAATGATTGATGGATAGACGGATGCATGGATGGAAGGACAGATGGAAAGACAGATGGGGTCCTAGATAAGTGGTTAGAAAGATGAATGGATGGATAGATGGGTGCGTGGGTGATGGACGATGGATGGATAATTACATGGTTGGATGAGCAAATGACTAGATGGGTGTGTAGAAGGCAAATGCAAAATGAATGATCAGATACATGGATGAATGGACAGATAAGCAGATGAGTGAATAAGTCGATGGATAGGTAGGTGCACGGAAGGACGGAGGGATAAGTAGCTAACCGGGTAGGTTGAAGTCCAAGGATAGCCAAACAAATGGACAGACGTGTGGGTAGGTCGATGGGTGGGTGAACAGGTGGTTAAGTAGACAGATGGTCAGATGCATAGATGCGGATATGCATGGGTGAATGGATAGGTAGACCCTTGTGTCATTTGTGTCCCCCTTGGTCTCTCCAGGAGCTGTGTCACCAGCTGCAGCCGCTAAAGCAGCCGCCAAAGCAGCCAAATATGGTGAGTGCTGTGCTGACAGCTCTGTCCCATCCTGTCTGGCCAGAGAAGGGGAGTGACTTGCCCAAGGCCACACAGCAAGCCACTGGCAGAGCTGGGACTTGCAACTGTTGGGCCCCTGGGCAATGTCTCCTCCAGTCATCTCCTACCATGAGGCCATGGGGCTGAGTGATGGGAGAGTCCCAGTATGGCATTCCCAGTGGAGGCAGCATCCCTGACCCTCCCTGGCCTGGCCAGGGCCCTGCCAGAGGAGCCCAAGCCTGAATGGGGACACAGGAGCTGCCCACAGTCTCTGCATAGCCACCCAAGGGGCCCTTCAGAGAAGACAGTGGTTGGAGAGTAGAGTGGCGGGGTGGGGGTGGGGGGCGGTCAGGGAGGTGTTAGTAAATGCTCCCTGCAGGAGGCTGGCAGGGGGCCCATGCATTCTGTGGTTTCCGGTCCTTCATGCACCAGACTTGGGGGAGGTTTGCATCCTCCTTCCCGGTTGACCAACTCCCCCAGAGCCCTCCCCAGCCTCCCCCACTGAGATGCTTTTCCACCCAATTCTCTTCTCTCTGCAGGCGCCAGAGCGGGAGTGGGAGTTGGAGGTATTCCCACTTACGGGGTTGGTGCTGGCGGCTTTCCTGGTTTCGGTATCGGAGCCCTCCCTGGAGCTGTCCCTGGAGCTGTCCCTGGAGCTGGCCTTTCCCGTGAGCCTTAGTTCCACCAGGGGAAACTTCTCTTTTGTAGGGCTTGAGGGGGGAGGCAAAGGGGCTCAGGGGAGTGTAGACTGGGCTTCAATGTCCTCAAGGAGGAGCTGGGGAGCGGGCCGTGTAGGGAGGGCTTTCAGCAGTTTTGGGTCCGAGCGCTGTCGCCCAATCCAGCAAGCTTTCTCTCTCTCCTTGCAGCTGCGGCCGCAGCCGCGGCCCAGGCAGCAGCTGCAGCCAAGGCAGCCAAGTACGGTAAGTGCCCCTGGCATGCCCATCCCCGCGCCCAGGGTAGCGCCCTCCCCTCCTGCCCACCCCAGCCCTGCTCTCCCTTGGGGTCCCAGATCCAAGCTCAAAGCAGTTCTCCAGCTTGAGCAGAGCAACATCACCCTTAGGCGCCTGGGGCTGAATGGCCTGGGTCAAGGTCGGGAGTCCCCGGCCCCATCTTCCGAAGCCACTCTGAACTCTCCTGCCCTTTTCAGCTGTTCACCACTATGATTATCAGCCCTGCTTCTCAGCCGCGCTCCAAATCAGCAACTTGGGGGTGCCCATGCAGCCATTCTGTTCCCCCTGCCACCTTCTACCCTTCCCTCTCCCAGGAGCCTGACTCTCTTCACTATTCCAGGTGCTGGAGGCATAGGAGGCTTGGGAGGGCTGGTGCCAGGCATCGGAGACGGAGTAGCAGGTGTGCCAGGCACAGGAGGGGTGCCAGGTGAGCTGCGGCCCCAACCCAGAGATGGGCTTGCTTTGTCTTGTGAAACGAGCCCCAGAGTCGGCCAGGTCAAGTGCATCACTTTGCGGAGCCAGGGGCGGGGGGGGGGAGGGCAAATTCCCCTACTTTGGGGAGAAGACCTTCCATGGGACCCTAGCTTGCTGGGGAGGCTCAGGAAATCAGCCGTCATCCGCCTGGCGGTTGGGTGGCCTCCTTTAGTCCAGTGGCCTTTCCGGTTCCTGATCAGGTGGGAGGGTCTATACCTCCCTTGGGCTCCTCTGTGTTCACTCTCCCCCGCCAGTCAGAGGCCAAAGAGAGACGAACAGCTACATAAGGCGATTAAGTTACAGACGTCCTCGGTTGCTTTTCCCCACCAGACTTCTCTTCTGCGTGCCTTCTTTCTGGGAGAAAATCTCCCTTCTGAGTTTCCCCCAAGAAACGGGCTGTTTCCTCCAGTTTTGGGTACAGGCCCAATTGGGAATTTTTTTTTTTTAAATTAACACCACCATCAGCAGAGAGCTGCATGAGCCTTCTAGAGGAAGGCTGTGCTTCGACCCATTAGCTCTGGGTTCCCGTCTGCCGTGGGCAGGACTAGAATGTCACAGTTCCAGGGCCACTTCTCAGGGAAGGGACGTACCCAAGTTGATTAGCGGGCCATCCTCAGAGCAGGCCTGGAACACAGGCCGGCCCCATATGCTTCTCTCTCTGTCTGCAGGGGTGAAGAGGCAGAGTGGGGAGGGTCTGCTGGGAGAGGGGGCATTTCCCTATGGGTGGTCTTTCCAGAATGGGGGAGGGGAGGGAGGATGTGGGGAAGGGTGCCAGGGACCAACCCCGATCCCCACTCTTGTCTCCAGGAGTAGGTACCCCAGCTGCCGCAGCCGCCAAAGCCGCAGCCAAAGCCGCCCAGTTTGGTAAGTGTCCCCCTCAACCCCCCCCTTGTGCTCCCAAACCCCCATTCAGGAGCCCTGCTCTCACACCCTCCCTGTTCTGGGGTCTGGCTGCCCCACCCCCTCAGGAGGCAAGTCCCCTCGGGGTGTCACGTCCTGGGCATTCTAACGAGCTCTGGCTTATCTGACCACTTTTAGGGGTGCGGGTGGAGTTCTGATCAGGAAGGCAGAGTGAGAGGGGACCCTGGCCAGCCCTCCAGGACCAGGCTCCCCATCCTGCCCAAAGCCCTTGCCACCTCCGAGTCCAGCTGGGGCCTGCATCGCTCTGGACCTCATGCTGGGCTCGTTGGACCCCCACCCTTCTTGACCTCCCTGACAAGGCTCTCCATCTTTCGCGGCATCTGAGGGCCACCCTGACCTGACCGCCCCGGGCACCATCACCTTCCTGAATATGCCAAACCCCAGCAGCCCCTTTAGAGTCCCATGCAGGGGTGAGGAATGGTACGCCTTGGCTTTAGGAGCCTGCAGACATCAAGGTTCAGGTCACAAAACTTAGCACTGTCTAGGCCAGAGAGCATTTCAACTTTGGGGCTGTTGATCCCCAAACTCACATATGACAAGCGACCCCCTTTTTTTTACAAAGCTGCTATTTGTGGAGGGAATCCTTACGCCGACTTTATGAAGTTGGTACTCCCGTTCCCATTTGACAGATGTGGAGACTGAGGTTCTGAGAGCCTAAGTAACACGTCCACATTCACACAGCTAAATGGCGGTGGAGCTGAGCTTTGAAGCCAGGTCTACCTGTCTTGCAGACTTCCCTTTACTGTGTAACTGCCTCCGTCACCCTCGAAAGTCTCAAAGGGGTCCTCCCAAGGTTAAGAGCTCCTGATCCTGCACATGTCTCATTTTAGGAATGAGGAAACTGAGGCCCATCAAGGGAGAGTAACTTGTCCAAGGTCACGCAGCAAGCCTGCGTCCCGGCTGCGACAAGATCTCAAAGGCTCTTGACTCCCAGCCTGCAGCTCTGTCCTCCTTGGTCAGGACTTGGTTAAGAATGAACTCATCACTCTTGCAGGGTTAGGCCCTGGTATTGGCGTGGGGCCCGGCGTGGCACCCGGCGTGGCGCCCGGCGTGGTGCCCGGCGTGGTGCCCGGCATTGGCATTGGTCCCGGCGGTGTTACAGGTGAGCCACCTGAGGAAGTGGGCCTGAGGGGCCTCTGAATCCTCATGGGTGCCATCCCTGACCCCCCTCCCTCCCCCTGCAGGAGCAGGGGCCCCAGATGCAGCCAAAGCCGCTGCTAAAGCAGCCGCCAAAGCCCAGTACCGTGAGTGCCCTACCCCCTTCCTCTCCTCACCCCTGCGAGCCTCGGGCTGGCCCCATGGGACCCAAGCCTGCGCTGGGCCCCACAATATGCAGCCTCAGCACCCGAGGGGCTGGAAGCATAGACTGAGCATGAGGGAGACCTGGGTTCAAGTCCTGCGTCCCACACTAGTGAAGTGACCTCCGAGTTTCCTGTCCTTCTATGTGACACGTGGGTGCTGGTGGCATCTGTTGCAGATGGTTGTCAGGAGCGAGTTCACCCAAGACAGAAGGAGCAAGAGAATAGTCTAGAAAGGACGGTGGTGTCTGCAGCCACCGTGCAGCCCTGAACGCCAGCCTGGGAGGGGCTGGACTTGGCGGTCAGTGGGAGTTTTAGGAAGACCATTCTCGGTAGCAGTATAGAGGGCAGGTTAAGCGCAAGGGGACCTCTGCATGGGCCCCGACTCGGCTCCCCGGGCGGGATGCCCCCAGGGGCGCATGCTCCCTGCCTGCAGCCGCCGCACCCCTACACATCACCCCCAGGGGCTGCAGCCGGGCTTCCTGTCGGCGTTCCTGGCTTTGGAGTTGGTGTCGGTGTTCCTGGCTTTGGAGCTGGTGTCGGCGTTCCTGGCTTTGGAGCCGGTGCAGGTGAGGAGACTTCTAGGGGCTGGGGAGAAACTGCCCCCTGAGCTCGGAAGAGGGAGACCTCTTCCTGCCCATACATTCCCAGCAGCCTCACTCAGGGGATCATAGTAAATTCTCCATTAGGTTCTCCTGAGCAGTCAGAAATGACTGGGGTAACAGATGGGGGGGGGCAGGTCAGGCAAAGGGGGTGCGCCAGGCTGCTAGATTTCAGTTTCTGCCTGCTCAGTAGAGGAATGATGGGGTTCCACACTGAAAAGTAGCCCACAGCCCACAGAAGGAAGGTGGAGGTCCTTGGGGTCAGAGGGCACGAGTGGGCCAGTCCGGCTCCCTTTCAGCAGTGCACTATGGGCAGAGGGCCACTAGGACCTCCAGTTCTTCACCTAGTCCCTGCTGTGCGTCCAGCCTCAGGCAGATCGCACTGTGCCTGGAGGAAGATGGAAGGGGCAGATGGAAGGAGGAGGCACACTTCATCCTCCAAGCAGCCCCAGACCAGACGGGCAGTGGCATCATTAGATAGTGGAGCTCTGTACCTGGCAGGGTGAGCTCCTGGCTGGGAGTCTCTGTTCCAGAGCTCTGAGAGGAGCCATGAAGGCTGAGAAAGTCAGGGAGGGCTCCCTGGAGGAGGCAGAACTGGGCGCAGAGCTCAGCTGCTGACCAGCCCTCTTTTCCTTTTCCCCTCAGTACCTGGATCCCTGGCGGCAGCTAAAGCAGCCAAATTTGGTGAGTCGCCCGCACCCCCCCATGCGGGGCTTGCTTGCTGCCCCACCAGCCCTGAGAACACCTAGTCACCCATCTCTCCCCCGTGGGGCCAGGGCCCAGAGTCTGGAGCCTACAGCGCAGGGCTGGGATGGTCAGGGTGAAAGAAGGCAGTTTCTAGGACACATTAATGATGGTTTAGCAGAGTTGGCTTCTGCCTGCTCTGTGCCTATCATGCTTCTAGCTCTGGGACAATTCAAAACCCCCTCACATTTCCAAACCTCCCGGTGGCACTTCCTTGGTGAAGACCACGGTCCCTCAGGGCCTTCTGGCCCTGACGGTTTCTTGGGACCCAAGGCCAGGGGCCCCGCCTGCTGCCGGCCGGACAGCCCACCTCGTCTAGGCTCACCTCCCGCCTGCCTCGCTGTCAGCATGACTGTGCCTGCCACGAGCCTGGAGGACATGGCCGCCCCGCCTGGACAGACCCACATGGTCTGTGGCCCCCGCATTCCTGGCCTCTGCCAACCGGCTCCGGCCAGTCCACGTGGGGCCAGTTTCCACCTCGGAAAATCCCGGCTTCCTCAGGCCCCAGCCCCACCCACCATGGGCCTGGTGACCCACAGGCCCCTCTCCTGTTCTTTGTCGGCTGCTGGCCCGCCCGAGTCTAACAGACGTTGCCAGGGAAACAAAGCAGTTAAGGGCTCTGTCTCCCAGGCCATTTCTTGCCTGTGGAAACTTGAGGACGCTGCTTAGCCTCTGCCATGCCTCAATTTTCTCATCTGCACAATGGGGAGGACAGTAGTTCCCACCTGTACTGTTGCAAGGAATAATAAGCAGGCTACCATGTGCAAAGCACAGAGGACCGTGACTGTGGCATAAAGCGTTAAGTGGCCATACGCAGCAGCTCCATGAAGGACAGAGGTTCAGAACTCAGAATATGTTCGCTTCCCAAACACCTGTAGCGTGAGTGGGGTAGGGATCATCATCCCTGTTAGGGAGGTGGGGCTCTGGAGGTCAGAGAGGCGACGGCCATAGCGAGAAAGTGGAATTCGAACACAGGGCTGTCAGAACCTGAGATGAGTCTTCTGGAGTCTTCCACCACCATGGCCACCCGTGGTTCCCAGCGCCAGCTGTCTGGGAAGGAGAAATGGGTGGGCCAAGGCTCAAAGGGTCCTCCCCTTGCCCGATGGGTCAGGACAGAGCCAGGACTCTGACCAAGGCGCCTTCCACTGGGTCACGTGACTTTGGCCCCCTGTCTGCTTTGCCTAGCATTCCCCGGGGCAGGGAGACCTCACCCTGCAGAAACGGGGGTGCTGACTTTCCATCATCTCCCTACAGGAGCCAGAGGGGTGGGGGCTCTTGGCGGAGCAGGTGTCCCAGGTGGTGTGGTAGGTGAGTCGGAAGCCCAGGACAGGCGGGGCAGGGAGGAAGACTGACTGGGGGGAGTCCCTCCCTCTGAGCTACTCCTGTGTCCCCAGGAGCTGGACCTGCTGCCTCAGCGGCCGCCGCCAAAGCTGCCGCCAAAGCTGCCCAGTATGGTGAGCGTTGGGTGGAGGCGGGGGTGCCCCAGGCCCTGGGGTCTCAGGGGGAGGCGCCTCTGACATGCAGAGTCCCTGACCTGCCCCCCGGGGCCATCCGGGGCATCGTCTCCCAGGGCCCAGCCCACACCCTGGCCCCGCTGTGCCCTCCAAGGCCCCGGGAGCTCAGGCTCCACCCGGGTCCAAGGATGAGAACCCCACTGTCTGCAGACAGCCCAACTAGTCCCACCAGCGGGATTTGAACACGCAGCTCTCTCCACAGGCCTCGGGGGAGTCGGAGCCCTAGGAGTCGGGGGTCTCGGAGCTGGGGGAGTCATCCCAGGGGTTGGGGGCTTTGGAGGTGAGTGGCTCCTCAGGAATCAGAGCGTGCATGGGGTGTGCCTCGTGTTGACATTTCACTCTTTCGTGGGTCGCCGCTCTGTCCCCCTATCCAAGCCGGCCTGAATCTCGTCCTATGCGCTCCAGCCTGGACGCGCAGGAAGAGTTTACTAAAGGCTTGGGAAGAGGGCTGGATAAGGGAGGGCAGCAGGGCGGTGAGTCGGCAGGCAGGGGGTAAGTGGGCGAGCGGGACAGGAGGGGACATGACTCTGGGAGGGCGGTGCTGCTCCTGAGCCCGCGTGCCCTGCGTCTCCCCAGGTGTGTCCCCAGCTGCAGCTGCTAAAGCGGCCAAGTACGGTGAGTTGCCCCCTCCTGCCCTCCCTCTGCCCAGTTGGCAGGCTGCCTCGCCCCCCCTCCGCCCCCACCCCCTGGCCTCTTCCTAACTCGGGCCTCAGTCCTGCTCACAGCAGTCCTGAAGGCCTGTCCCTGCCCCCAGAACCCGAAGAGGATGTTCAGCGCCCCTTAAACTGTGTGTGGTCCTAACCCCTGTCCACCTTCAGGTGCCACTGGCCTTGGAAGTGTCCTAGGAGCCACCAGGCCGTTCCCAGTTGGAGGCAGGGGCCCTCTCTCTCTGAAATCCTCAGCTCTGCCCAGGGCCTAGAGGGGGCCTGTCTGGCTAGCAGGAGGGGATTCCTAGAGCTGCATCCAGCACAAAGACATGGAAGAGAGAGAGAGAGAGAGAGAGAGAGAGAGGATAGTCCAGGAAGGGCAACGCCCAGGCCTCAGGGGCAGGGGTACACTGTGGGCCACAGACACGAGGCTGATGAGCTGGGGCTATGGGGCTGGAGACAAGGCTTGTAAGGAAAGCCGGTCCATTGGTGGGGGGCGCGCAGGGGGAGGAGGTGGTCCTGGGCAGAGGGGAGGGGCAGTAAGCGAAGGGCTGGGGCAGGGCCTGCCCCACACCAACCCCAAACCCCTCCCACAGGAGCTGCAGCAAGACCTGGCTTCGGACTGTCTCCCATTTACCCAGGTACACCAGCCTCCCTGTCCCCGGGCCCCTTCCCCTTAACTCCCCCACTCCATCTGCTCAGATGGGCTGGGCCGGGCCCCAGGGGGTAGCCCCCCCCTTCCCATGACCTCCATCACAGGAAGTCACACGAAGCAGGGCCTCCCCTCATACCTCCCCACCTCCCTTGCAAGGGCCAGGGAGCATCAGTTTTTCCAAAGACCCGTGTTCCGGATGAGGCAAACTGAGGTTCAGACAGTGCAAGGGACTCGCCCGAGGTCACACAGAGTGAAGCAGAGCCCCAGGTGCCTGGCACCCAGGCCCAGAACCTGGCCCTCTTGGGCGGGGCCCATGCTTCCCTGAAAGGGCTTGGCGGGCTCCCCGGAAGCGGACACACTCACAGCCCCTCTTCCTGCCCCACAGGTGGCGGAGTTGGGGCCCTGGGAATTGGCGGTGAGTCTGCAATAAGGAGGGGCCCTGAGCTACTTTCATGGAGTGGGGGTACAATGCTATGGTGCCACGGCCCTGGGCTGGCCCTCCGATGCCAAGAAAACTCAGCCCTGAGATGTAGGTGGGGACAAGGATCCCATCCCTGGGGACTCCCAGCCTGGCACCTGGTGGGACACCAGGAGTGAGACCGAGACCTGGCTGACCCCCGTCCCCACTCCCCATCTCTGGTGTAACTAGAGAGATGGACAAGCTCCCGGAGAAAAGGAAAGGAAGTGTGTAAGGGGAGAAACGAGGTCCGCTCAAGCAGGTGGTCAGGGAGGCCAAAGCCGTGTTAGATGGACCAGTCTGTGTGGCCAGGGTCTGACTCGGGGCAGGGGTGACCTCCTAGCTTCTCAGACCTCCACAGGCAGGATGCCATCCACAAGAGGCATGACTGGAGAGCAGGGGTCGGGCCCTGGCCGGGGGCAGGAAGGCCTTCAGAACCTCCTGTGACAGGGTGGAGGCCTGGTCCATGGCGGGGGTTCTGAGAGAGGTGGGAAAGTCTGGCCCCCTCCCCAAGCCCCCCTCCCCTCCACAGGCAAACCTCCCAAGCCCTATGGAGGGGCCCTGGGAGCCCTAGGGTACCAAGGTGCATAGAGACTCGGCCCCTGGGGAGAGGGCAGGGTGGGGAGGGGCAGACAGAGGCAGAGGGCTGGGGCCCATCAGCCTGGGAGAGGGGAGCACATTTGGACTAGACCTAGCAGGGTATGGAGAGGCTGGGGGAGCCGATGCCTCACCCCCGCCCCCATCCCTGCATCTACCTCTGATACAGACACTCAGAGCTAAGAGTGGGCCCGGGACCTCCCCAGACTCACCCCAAGCCCCACCCGGAGGAGCCAAGGGAAAGAGCAGGGATGTGGGGAAGGGAAGAACTCGGAGGAACAGGGAAGGGAAGAGAGAATAAGCGGGACAACGGACCTTGGAGTCAGGGAATTTGAGGAGTGGGTGGAGGACCCAAGGGGCCCCTAGTTGGGCAGGGTGTACAGAGCCACTACCTGGCCCAGAGCCACAGCCTTGCTTAAAGATACAGGCGTGCCTCTGGGAGTGTGGGGGGCGGTAATGATCAGCACCCCCAAAGGCTCCTCCCAGCAGTGCCCAAAGGAGACCCGAAGAAGCCCCACTCCGCTCCCCTGTCTGCTCAGGCTGTGGATTCCCTTGCATCCCCACTACACAGAGAGGGCAGCTGAGGCCAGGGCAGGGGGAGGCAGAGGCAAGACCGCCTGACGCCTGGACAGGGGACCCAGCTCTCAGTCAGGCACTCCTTGATGCCTATGGCCCTGTCACACTGCTTTCTAAACCCCTTGGATGAGCTTCACAGAAAGAAGCCTGTCCCGGTCCCAAGGGGCCATTCGCTGCCACCAGGTGGTGGTAAGGAGCCAGGTCGGGCTCCAAGCCCTCCTGCCAGACAGCGGTGCCTCCAGGGCTTAAAGCCAGGTTTGCCCATCAGAACGTCCTCTGGAGGGGGCAGGAGTCCTGAGTGTGTGTCCCAGCTCAGCCACTGCAAGCTCTCCCCTTCTCTGAGCCTCAGTTTATCTGATGCACTCTCTTCCTAGGAGGGCCATCTCCAGACTCCGTCAGCCCTCCCTTCACCTCCTCCTTTCCCTTCTGGGGGCTGCTCAGAGCTGCTCCATAAAGGCTTCCCAAATCAGTGGAGTCGGAAGATAGAGACCTTGTCCAGGCCAGGTCCCTTCCCCTCTCTGAGCCTCGTTTGCGTCACCGTCCCCGCTCCCACCCACCTGCCTGCAAGGAGCTTGAGCAATGGGATGGCTCAGAGCTTCAGCAGGAGGTGGTGACCCAGCTCTTCTTGGCTTTGGAGCCTCTGTTCCCCATGTCAGTGATGGGGGTGTAAGAACAGCTCGGAGCTGGTCCGAGTGGGCAGGGGCTTGAGCAGGAAGGACCCAGAAGGGGCCGGGCCGTCATGTGTGCCTCCTCCCGCCCAGGTGGGGCCTGCCTGGGGAAATCCTGTGGCCGGAAGAGAAAGTGAGCTTCCCAGGACCCCTGACTCACGACCTCATCAACGTTGGTGCTACTGCTTGGTGGAGAATGTAAACCCCTTGTGACCCCTTCCCCATTCCCCTTCCCCCTGTCCCCACCGTGGGAGGGGACAGGCCAGGCTGGGTGGCCTTGGAAATCCACAAAGCAAGGACACAAGAGTGGTGGCCAGGTGGGCCCCAGGAAGCCCCCTACTTCAGAGGCCAGGGGCGGGTGGGCTCAGCCCCCTGCCCCCACCCCCTTCCCACCCAGGAGCTCCCCTCCACACACTCTCCATCTCCAGGGGAACTTGGTGCTACATGCTGGTGCTATCATCTTCCTGGGGGGAGGGAGGAGGGAAGGGCAGCCCCTCGGGAACCCCCTCCCCGGGGCTCTTCTGAAGATGGTGCAGACACTTCCTGGGCAGCCCCCTCGCCCCCTGCCCACCAGAACCTCTCCCCCAACCTCGGCTGCGGTCCAGTTGGTACCCAAGCACGAAAAGCCTCAAGCTGGATTCGGTCATATGACCTCTCGGTCCCCTTGCCCCCCACCTATTCCCCATGGCTGGGACCCCTTTGGATGGGAACACCCACCCCCCGCCCCACCCCCACCGCCACTGGGAATAGTCCTCTTGCTCTCGTGGAAGTCGTCCACCCATCTGCCCATCCGTCCATCCACACTTGACCCCAGTTGACCGCCCGGCGCCGCTAGCTGGCTGGGCGCCCCCGCCGTCAACCTGGTTCACCCGTCCTGGTGGCCTGTGCCCTGCCTCCACCCCCCTCACCCCACCCCCCCACGATGGGGCCTGAGCACCCCGGGTGTGAGGAGCTGTGCCAGCTGGGGCAGCAGGAATCTCCTCCCCAATCTGGCCCCCCCCCATGCAGTACTGTAACCCCGACCCCTCCCTGGAGCCACCGTATTTCAGAGCATTTCCCGCCCCTCCCCCTCCCATCTCTTTGTGTCTCGCTGTGATAGATCAATAAATATTTTATTTTTTGTCCTGGATATTTGGGGATTATTTTTGATTGTTGATGTGCGCTTGGTTTTATTTGTGTGGTTGACTAAAAAAAAATTTTTTTTCCACTGATCTGGGGAGTTATATCCCCAGCAGAAAATTCGTTTTAGTCACTTGGGTATAACTCTGGATGAAACACATTTTTTTTTCCTTTAAATAAGAAAAGTGAATTAACTGCTTCAGAAAAGACTCATAAAATGAAAACCTTGGGAAGGAAAAGATATCTCATCTGCTCCAGGGATGGAAGGGAACTTGTACTCTTCAAGTGTATTTGGGGAGGGGGTGCTATTTACCAAAATCACCTGCCCTTGGCTCCTGGCAGATCAATCCTTCTCCGAGTTCAATCTGTCATTTAATAATAGAGCCCCTGTGTAGGAGCAGCAGGGCCAGCTGGCCCCACATATGCCCAGTCCCGGAGGCCTCCCCTGAGGAGGTGGCTCACCCACCCAGCCACACCTTCCCTAGGCCTCCCCCTTAGGCCCAAGAGCTAGAGCACAGGGCCCAGTGGGTGGCTTCCAGATGCTGAGGGTATAGCCGAAGGGGTGGAGGAAACAAAAATGACCCTCTGTCCAGACCAAACCCTTGGCCTTGATGAACAGCCACACAGACAGGGGAGAAATGGCCCCACCCAAGAGAAACCAGAAGACTGTTTCCCTCTGAAGCATCCCCTCAAAGGAAAAGCTGGTCACCCACATGGCCCACGGGGACACGCCCACCTGGAGTCCACAACTCCTTCTTAGAGCTTGCCCTTCATGTTAAGTTCCAGAATCCCTTCCCCAAACCACCGATTCCACATCCGCGGCCCACATGGCTTCACGCCTCCATCCGTCCTCCTGAGAGCCAAGCCCGTGGCCGGTGGGCACACCCCTAAGTCAGAAGGGTGGTGAGGGAGCTGTCTGTCGGGGGTGTGAGTGTCTGTGCATTTGTCTGCAAAGACCTGCGCAGGGCCAGGAGGAGACCGGATGGAAAGAGAGGGCGGTGGTGTGATCCTCCCAGAGGACAGAGAAACGCAAAAAGCAATTTAGCAGAAAGAACGGGGAGGAGGGTCAGGACAGCTGGAGCGCCTGGGGGGAGGGAGAGGGAGGAGGGAGGGGTGGGTTTATGGAGACCCACAAAGGGACTGCTGTGACAGTCCGGGAGGGATGACACAGCTCGCCCAAGAGTAGTGATGAAGGAGACTCACTCACTCAACAAAAATATCCCTTGCTGGGGCTCCTGGGTGTCCCACTTTTGATTTCGGCTCAGGTCATGGTCTCGTTGTTTGTGGGTTGGAGCCCCGCATCAGACTCTGCTCTGAGTGTGGAGCCTGCTTGGGACTCCTCCCACCCTCCCCCCACCGAATAAATAAGTAAATAAATAACTTTTTTTAAAAAAATCTCACTATCCCATGCAGGTCCGCTCTCAGCTCTTTGGCCTCTGAAAGTTGGCCGGTCCCAGCATTCAGCCCTGCAGTCTCCCTGCTTTGGTTTCTCATAGTTCGTGGCTTTAAATGCCACCTCTTCACTGGCAACTCCCAGAGTGACGCCTTCAGCCTAGACCCCTCCCCTGGGCTCCGGGTTAACGCATCCGACTCTTAACACATCCGCCTGGAAGTCTCGTGGACACCCCCGTGTAGCATGGTCTCCCCCCACCTTCCAAAACCTGCTCTCCTCCCGCCTCGCCCGCCCCGGCACACAGCCGCGCTGGTGGCCTCTGCTAGTCAGGCCGGCGGCTTCGGGGCCATCGGGGACCCCTCTGTCCTCACGCCCCACGGCAGACTCCCTGGGAAACCCCGCAGCACTACCGTGGGAAGACACCCAGAGTCCAGCCACTCCTCACTGCCTCCAGGGCTGGTACCCTGCTCCACCGGGAGCTCCTGCCCGGATTACCGGCACAGCTTCCTAACTGGCTCCCAACGCTCCCCCAGCCTTCCCTTAGCCTTCTCTCCACGCAGCAGCCAAAACAGTACTTTTAAAACATTAAGTCAGGGTGCACCTGGGTGGCTCAGTTGGTTAAGCGCCTGACTTCGGCTCAGGTCATGATCTCACGGTTCGTGGGTTCGAGCCTCGCATCGGGCTCTGTGCTGACAGCTCAGAGCCTGGAGCCTGTTTCTGATTCTGTATCTCCCTCTCTCTCTGACCCTCCCCTGCTCACACTGTCTCTGTTTCTGTCTCTCTCTCAGAAATAAATAAAAAACATTTTAAAAAATTAAAAAACAACAACAAAAAAAATGTTAAGTCAGGTCAGGTCATGCACATGCTCAAAATCCGGCCATAGCTCCCGTCTTACTCAGGGCCCAAGCCAGAGGCCTTAGATGGCCGAGGAGCCCCTACTGGAGTTGTACCAGCTGTGCTGACTGGACATCCTGCTACCTGGCCCCCTGCCAGGCCATGCACCACCCCCCACCATCCCCGCCCTGCGCCCTCTGCATCTGCTCTCTCTACTGCCTGGAGCATTCTTCCCTCTGCTATCAATGTGCTTGGCTCCCTCACCTCCCTCAGTGACCCCAATATCACCTTCTCAGAAGGTCCTTTTCAGTCTCCCTTTCTAACATTAGATCGTACCCACCCCCCCACAGGTCCCTTTTTCTCCAAAGCACCCGTCACCACGTGACACGACGTATTTCACTTCTTTTGTACACTACCTGACTCTGCATACCAGCATGTCAATTCCCTGAGGATGAATGCTGGTTGTTTTGTTTTTAAAGTTTCTTTATTTATTTTTGAGAGAGAGAGAGAGAGAGCCAGAGCACGAGCCGTGTAGGGGCAGAAAGAGAGGGAAACACAGAATCCAAAGCAGGTTTCGGACTCTGAGCTGTCAGCACAGAGCCCGAGGTGGGGCTCGAACCCACAGATCGTGAGATCATGACCTGAGCCGAAGTTGGACACTTAACAGACTGAGCCACCCAGACACCCTTTAAACACTGTTTTAAGAACAAAACACAGGGGCACCTGAGTGGCACAGTCGGTGAAGTGTCCGACTCTTGAATTCGGCTCAGGTCATGATCTAATGGTTCGTGAGATTGAGCCCCTGCGTTGATTGGGCTCTGTGCTGACAGCACGGAGCTTGCTTGGGATTCTCTGTCTCTTCCTCTCTCTCTGCCCTTCCCCCGATTATGCTCTTTCTCAAAAAATAAACCCATAAACTTAAAAAAAAAAAAAAAGAACAAAATACAAACTCCCTGCTTTTATTAGTTATACACTTGGGCAGAAAGATGGTAAGTGAAGGTGTTAGGCTGATCATAGCCCCAAAGATATCCAGGTCCTAATCCCTGGACCCTTGTGAATATAACCGCTCTCGTCTGCTTGGGCTGCCATGGCCAAGAACTACAGACTGAGCAGCTTCAACAACAGAAATGTATTTTCTCACAGTTCTGGAAACCGGAAGTCTAAGATCAAGGTGCCAGCAGGGCTGGCTTCTGAGACCTCTCTCCTCGCCTGTTCTCCTCCTTGTGTCTTCAGGTCGTCTCCGCTCGGGGCCTACTTGTCCCTGATCGCCTCCTCCCATAAGGACACTAGTCAGATTGGCCCATTCTAATGACCTCATTTCAACCTCATTGCCTCTTTAAAGGCTCTATCTCCAAATGCAGTCACATTCCAAGGTACTGGGGGTAGGACTTCAACATATCAACTTTGCAGATTTAATTCAGCCCATGACATTCACCTTATATGGAAAAAGAGCCTTTGCAGATGTGATTCAGTGAAGAATCATGAGGTTGAGACATTACCCTGGTTGGCCCTAAATGCCATCACAAGTGTCCCAGGAGCACCTGCATGGCTCAGTCAGTTGAGCGTCCGACTTCTGCTCAGGTGATGATCTCGTGGTTCGTGGGTTCGAGCCCCATGTCGGGCTCTGTGCTGACAGCTCAGAGCCTGGAGGCTGTTTCTGATTCTGTCTCCTCTCTCTGCCCCTCCCCTGCTTGTGCTGTCTCTCTCTCAAAAATAGATGAATGTTAAAAGAAATCATAAGTAAATAAACATTTTTTTTAAATTTAGAAGGTAGATCCACACACTGGCAGCAGGCCCATCAACTGTGGTGCCAGCTGCAGACCCGTAGCGGCCCCACCGGGCTGTGGACTGGGCGCCATCCCGCTTCTCTGGGATCCTGGCACCAGCCCCTCCTCCAAGGAATCCAGGAGGAGCAATGCCCATCCAGACCCCGGTGACAGGCCTGCTGGCCTCAGGCCGGACTGTAGTCCCTAAAACAGTTCCATGACTTGGTTCTGGTTCCCACTGTACCACAGCCTGGAAGCAGTCCTGCCCACCTGAGGACCACCCTGGTATCACAACGGAAGTACATTCAGGGGCCCATCAGGAGCCACACCCATCCGTGTCCTTGGTAACAGGCCAACTGCAGACCCCACTGTGGGCCCAACACGTGGGACCCAGCTCCGGTCGCACTAGGACACAATCTCAGAGGCAGACCCATAAATCCAAGGACCCGGCAGGAAAAGGTCTTTAGCTACTGCATGAGTCTGTAGAGACTGGAAGAGATGTCTGCTCCTTCCATATCAAGATTCCCATGCAAGCTACATATATCATGAAGAATCAGGTAAACATGATACCACCAAAGGAAACTAAGAAAGCTCCAGGAGTCAACTCTAAAGAAATGGAGAGCCATGAACTACTTGACAGAGAATGTAAGAAAAAGAAGCTCAGTGACCTGTAAAAAACACTGATCAGCAACTAAACCAAATCAGGAGAATAATACATGAACAAAACTAGAAGTTTAACAAACAAATAGAAACCACTGAAAAGAACCAAACAGAAATTCCACAGCAGAAGAATACAAGGACCCCACGGGAAAATGTAACGGAGAGCTTCAACAGGAGACTGAGTCATACACAGGAGTCGATAACCTTGAAGACAAGTCATTTGAAATCATCCAGTTAAAGAAACAACAACAAAAATCATGAAAAAAGTGAAGAAAGCCTGTGTGACTTAGGAGACATCATCAGATGAATCAAAATACACATAATGGGAGTCCCAGAAAGCGCAGAGAAT